TTCTTTTTTTATTGTCACTGGCATCCATGATAATTAACCCGGGTTAACCCAAAAACCGTTCGTTTATCTTCCCTAACCCAGATGCGTTCGATTTCGTACCCAGGTTAACCCAGGTGGCTCTGGGGAAGCAAATCGAACGCACTATAGTAGTCACAGGCTACTACATCGTGTGCGTATATGTGTGTGTGTGTGTGTGCGTGTGTGTGTGTGTGTGTGTGCGTGCGTATGCGCATACATGGGTTAAACCCCACCAACCGAAATCTCTAGAGCTAGCCAGGAAAATGTGGTCCTGGGTTTAATGTCACATAAATTCGAACCTACTCACTATACACACCATCGACCTAAATAATGCATAAACAAACTGCAAGGAAATATTGCGGAAAAGAACTCTAGAAGGTAGCAGAAGGAAACTGATGCTTAAACAATTATTTTAACTGCCCCTGGGTGATCGTCAGGTAGCAGTGTGTTGCAATAGGGGCGTTCTAAACATACAGCTCATTTATAGTAATAAACTACCATTTCATTCAATATGCACGCACGAAAACAAAACATACAATCTGGTCTAACTTGACTAACTTAGCAAAGATATCCACGTGGTGCATGGTTATTTCACTCAGTCGAATAGGTCAGTTAGGTGAGTCCAAATGTGGGAAATGTAGGGAATGCCAATGGAGTCCAGAGTTTAGAAGGTCCACGCTTTAGGACGACCCTAACTTAAAATAGTCCCGCAAAGATTAAAATGGCTAATATGAGAGTGAGCATGCAGATGGTGCAACTGTGGGTGTGTGTACGACTGACTCAAATAAAAGTAGTATTTACTCAGATGAATAATCATTCGAACCTGTCAAGCATTCATCATTGATTCCTAAGGTAGAGACTCACGTTATATTTTCTCATTGTGCAATTTTATATTTCCGAGGGAGATAGGTATTACTTACTCTGTACATTCCTTCTCTGATCTGGTGAAACATGGGCACAATCTCCTCCTTGCCAAGACGATCTGCAAAAACAGCCATAATTGAAATCAGAAGACTCTTCAAGTGATTACGTCACGATTGTTCTATGGTAAAATTTGTAAAATTTTTGTTGCCATTTTTTTACATTTAAAGTAAGAACTAGCGAGACTAAACGTATCGTCAAATTCTTACCTGATAAGATTGTTTCTCAGCTAGTTAAAAATATAAAAAACCTGGACGATTTGATATTAGTGTTAATAACATTAATTGCTTGCTATGGGCTATGTATGCATCACGACTTCACGAGTGTATGTTCACATCGAACAATATAGTAAAATAAGAAGTATAATGCAGCAATTTAACCATAATGAAAGTGTCAATGACACTGTAGCTCACCACAAAAAA